CCAATACTACTAATATCACCAATGGTAGATGGTAAATGGTGATAAATAAAGGTTGGTGCAACTATGTTATATAGTTTCACCAACAAGCTTACTTTAGATATTAGATATTTGAATATTAAATATGTTCAAAAAAGCAGTTGAATATGCCAAAATATATAACACTGCATATAGGTACTTATAATGTAACTAGATGAGTTAATACTTAAAAATTGTAGATTAGATATATAGAATGCAGATTACTTCGTAATTATATATTATAATTCATCATTTTTTTAAAGACATAATACAAAAAAATATTAGTATGACTTGCTAAAAAAAAAAAAATAAAAATAAACTATAATATTTATCTTAGAAAAACTTGTAGTTATTAAATTGTAACAACAATAATCTAGAACAAAAATCACTATAGCAGATTACAAATAAGTATCTATAAAGTAATCAGATAAATTAGTACTTAAAAAATTAGATATTAGAAAATATATAAATAAATAATAATGTTTTTATATATAAAACAAATCTAAATAAAGTTTTAGCATAACTACTAAATGTTTAAAAAATATATATATATATATATATACAGTATTTATATTAAAATTAAATATTTTATTAAAATTATAAAAAAGAATACTTTAACTTTAATAAAATTATTAGTAAATTATATAAATAAAAAACAATACTTATAATATAAATTTATAATATTAGTTACTTTGTAATGCAAGCATATCGATATACGTAGCTTATTAATCCTGCTTTAAATACATAACTAAATTTCTTTTAACAAAGTATAAATTCTACGTACGTAGCAAATTAACACTTTATTAACCAAAAGTTATTCTAAAAATTCGAATATCAAACGGAAACACGATTAATTAGAAGTCAAATTTATAGTATATGTATAACATACCGATAAGTAGTATTTATCGGAGTTTGATCAAAAATATGCATCAATGACGAACGAAGTAAAAGTCATCTTACCAAATATACTAATTGTAATAATGATGTACAGTATGCAATGCAGTTCCATGGCGCAGTTGTAATAGTCGGTGTCTTAACACCGTTTTCCAAAGTGAAATGAGTATCGTTATAGCTTGGTATGATGAAAAAAAAACAGGATCAATATTTGGATACAAACAAGAAATTTGTTTCTAAATATGAAAGCATCAGCATTGTTCGTCAATCTTGCTTTAATATGCGTTTTAAATTATGACATAGTCGTGTACTGTATGTAAAAAGGTATGCATAAATCGTAAATCACCATTTATAAATAATAATGCATGAGCATTGATGAATCCGAGAAGTAATTTGAGGATGGTAACAATCTTATAAAAACAATCTATATAGTAGTTTATCCTAACAAAAGAGTAATTTCTGATAGTAAAAAAGGAATTCGAAAAATTTAATAGCATAAGAAGAAAATGTTAAGTGATCGAACAGACTTTTTGATCAGTCTTTAGACATACAGTGAATAAATGATAGAAATATCAATCATATAACTTAATGTTTAAATAAAATACAATCTTGTTTGATGTTGTAATAAACTTATCGTTATCAAAAATGAATAAACTTTAAAAAACTCCGTGCCTACCATCGGTATCATATTCTTTACCGTATTAAGATTTTGTATCCGAAATTTAGAACACAAACTTGCCTAAAAAGTACAATTTTTATTGTTTGCTGCGCATGTTGAACCTTATGACCTATAAACAAGAAGTCACGTATAATAAATTATAAATTATAATAAATAAAATAAATAAATAAATATAAATTCTTTGAAATTTGCTTTATAATATTTTTAAAACTGTTTAAAATGTTAGTATGTTAAATTAAATCTGTTATTAACTATCAAATCAGTATTGAATCTACATGACACCATATAAAAAACCATTACATCAAATTTGCTGATTTTGATTTGATATAAAACCCAGTGAATTTGCTAACTCCCACGAAAAATTTCAAATTCCTTTTTTTATGATTCACCGCTTGTAATTACATCAATTCTCCCAAATTTGCTTTCTAAATTTTCTTTCTCTTTCAATTCTTTAATCTGCGATAAATTTTGGACAAAGATACTTGACATAAAACCGAGACAAGGTTAGGATTAATTGGAGGTTTTTTTGAAATTCCAAAATAATGTCTCAAGGTATTTATCAATTTTAATTACGTACAATTTAATGTTAAATTTGGTTAAAAATCTAACAATTTATTTATTTTATTATTAATTGGAGAATATCAACAACATCCTTTTCCACCAACTTTTCAAAGTGAACGCTCATGGAGTATGCTTGCCAATGACTTTGATGATGATAAACCACAACATTATTATCCTTCCCAAGCCTCTGACAGGTCATGGAGCGTGCTTGGTTCGCAAGATATTAGCGATCGAAATCATGGCTTAAGTACTTATGGTTACGTTGCTGATGATATTAATTCGGCAAATTCAGCAAGATCGATTGTTCAAGACTATATTGACCAACAACAACAAATTTCGGCTGAAAGAACTCCAACAATTCCTTCTTCATTTCCTGAACCGGAATTTGTTCCATCGATTACTTCGTCAACTAAGGAATTTTTGTACGAAACATTTAAGTATGAAAGACAAAATGATAAAGATATTGCCGGTCGTCCTAACGAATATGTTGATGATGATTGTTCGGACTGTCCTCCACCACCATCGGACTTAGATCTGTCAGTTAATAGTCAGATTAACCTTTCTCAATCCCAAACCGAAAGTAATTCTTGGAGAATTGGCTATCTTTCAGGTAAATTTATCGTGGTAATTGATATTTTTTTTTCATTTTTTTATTAAATAAATCTTTGCTTTTTTTTTTTTATAGTCATAGTATTGTTGATTGCTATAGTCCTCTACTATATCGGAGTCAACATCACTTACTTTGAAATAGAGGATCTTTTTCATTAATTACTTGATACCGTTAAGTTAGCCAATGGTGTAAAAATTAGCGTTCTTCCCATCATTTACATGTTTATTATTTTTATTTCATTTTACCATCACATTTACATTTACATGCAACTTTCACGCATTTGTCATGTTGATTTAAGAAAGACGTGTTAAGAAGTGTGGTGGATTTATTCAATTTTTTTCATGTAAAATTATTGGCTTTTTTTAATTTTTTTGAACACGTGAATAGGTATATAAGTTAGATATCTTTCCTTCATGAAATGTAGAAAATGTTCGTGTAATTCATATATATATATATTTTTTTTTTTTTTACATATCTATTTTCCTTCCTAAATGCCTTGTAAATTTTTATTCTCGTTGTTTTTGTTTCTTAAATGATTTCAAAAAATTGCTTTTTTCAACGATACAAAATTCACGTTCACGTTGCTTAGGATCATTTTTATGTTTTTATGATTTTTTTTTTTTTTTTGTCTGAAATAGTATTATTTCAAATATTTTCGAAAGTGGTATTTAAAATGCCTTCGAAATAATATTCGAAAAATACTTCGAAATAGTTCAAAATAGTATTTAAAATTCTCAAAAATAGCACTCAAAATACATTCAAAATTTTTAATCAAAAAATAGCATTCAATAGTGCATAACACATTTTCATTTTTTTTTTATTAATGCACATACCATGATTTACTGAATAATTTCCAAATTTTGTTCATAGTATTATCATATGATATTCAACTCGTTATCGTTATTACTTAAAAGATTTACAAACCCTTAAAAATTGTTTATTTATTTATCCGTGATGTAATTTCAAGCTTATTTTAGCGTTAGTAGTACTAGATTCATTTAAAAAAATCTCACTTTATGTAAGATCAATTGTAATTACTGCAAGTGTCACAAGTTCAAGAGTTACGAATATTCCAAAATACAGTCGCTTTCGCGACAATATCTTCTGATTGATCTTTGAGAATAGTTTCACATTCTTGAATACCATTTAACTCTCCAGGATTAAAAGTACTAGTGCCCGTAATTAATCCTATTATTTATTTATTTTATTTTTTAAAAATTATTTCTTTCATAAATAAATAACAAAAAATAACCGATATCATTACTTACCTCTTGATTTCTTAAAATACTTTGTAAAAAAATCAAAAATGAACTAGTTAAATAAGATAATAAGAATAAATTGTGATGACAAGATGATTATAAACAACCTCCATATTAATTCTCGTTACAATAGCCCTATGTTGTTTAGTTATTTTACTTAATACTGCAAGTCCTCCAATCGTTTCTGCAAATGTGCAAAGGGCCGCTGCGTGAATACTGTTGAACGGATTATGTATTCTCCTTTGTTCCTACATTAATAAAATAAAAAGTAAATTATTGTGTTGGTTAAATTTAAATCTTTTATTTTTGATACCTTCAAAACCCCAGAACAGGTTCCTTTTTCAAGGTTCGTTATACGCATATCTTATTTCAAAATGAATAATATAAATACATGGTTTCTGTATTATTTCCTGAATTGCTTATACATAATGTAACAGATAATTACGAATGCATTTAACAAACGGATTTTTAAATTCTAGAAAATACGAATAAATTAATGGTCGAAAATGACGTATGATTGGTTTATTCAATTCATTCCAAGCTTGAAGTGGATCTCGAATCATTGCCACTTTATTAGCTAATAATGCAAAGGTTCCAACGAATATTGCTACAATTGTAACAATAAGCCCGATGATTATCGTTTCCATCAATATAGTTACCGAATAAAAGACAACTAAATAAATTGCAATTTTTATAGAGAAAGGCTATACATGTACCTGTTATACAAACTCCTAAATGGAAATAGCCAATTATACTGTGAAATTTTTGAAACACATGCGAAAGAAAAACAATGTTTACGTAAGTACGTGAAATCACAATGATAATTTATACAAATCATTTAACAGTTAACGAGTTAATTTTATTAATTTTTTTTTATACGTAGAAGTTGTATGTACATTTACAAATCTGTCTTGCATATTGGTAATTGTCACTTCCTTTTATTATATAATTTATTACTAAGTGTAATTGTCCGTAGCGGAGGACACACATGTCTATATTCGGTACTTTATTGTAACAGAACATGCCTATTTACGCGTCTGTGTAATATGTTCAAAGCTTTGGATACACAATGCTACTCATTAACTAGGGTTGTTAACGGAGTGATCCAGGGTGGTGTGGTGTATACTCTGCTAGAATATCACTTAAAACCACAGTCAATACTCCAAATTAAACACTATAGTTTATACTGGAGTTACTACTCCAGATTATTGCAGTATTAGCTAAGTTTATACATATACTATAAGTATATATTTCTAATCCGGAGTAGTAGTGATAGTAACTCCATAGTATAACCTACTCTATTTGACTTTTATAATAATCCGAAATGGTTTGGCATATAAATCACACTAGCATGGAGTGGCTTATACTCTTATGCTACTCTGAAGTATAATATTCTATTAACAACCTTGAATACATTTTGTATAAATATACAGAGTTTCAATTAATTTTAGAAGTAATTCTTACTAGAGTAATCTTATACTTATTTCATAGATTTATTTAACTTAGATTTTTGTAGTATTTATACAACTTCAGATTTTAATTGTAGTCTT